ATGAGGATTGATCAACAAGTAGTAGAAAAAGAAAGATGAACACATGAAGATATAATGAAAATTCAAAAAATATTGCAAAAAATGAAGAGGAATAAAGGGTAAAGAAATGTGTTGAAGATGTTAGAGAAGAAAGAAATGAAAGAGATGTTAGAGAATTGATGAAAACAGTCTGCCATCTTGTATATAAATTAGCCAGTAATATTTTGGATAGTCATACTGACCAAAATAAAAAGGGCAGAAATTTCAAACATTTTCCATCAAAAAAATTTAATGGTTGCATGGGATTGAAACATATTAGAAATTATTTCGGTCAAACATTTTGACTGAATTATATGTAGAGGGAAATTCAAAGTTTTCCCCAAATTTTTTGGTAAAGATAAAGGGTTTTTTTTTTTTTTTTTGGGTAGCTTGTTTCGGTCTTGTAACTTGACCGAAATAATGCTTTTCATAGTTCAGTCAAGTAGCTTGACCGAATAAAAGATGAATTGTTTTTTGGAATTTTCTCTAGAATGACATACTAGTTTTCTTTTTCTTATTTAATTTGTTTCAAAATGTTTGATCTAAAATTTATAAGTAATATAATATAAAATTTCTATCAATTAATTAGCAATATGTTCTAAACATATATTAAAACATGTAACTGAAAATTTTATCTCGAAACACATAAATATGAAAACATAACCTAATATTATAATTAAAGTGTCATGACCTGAAATACTAATTAAAGCACTATGTTCTACTCTCAGACATGTCAATGCATATATAATAGTAGAAGATATTTTTGATATAAAGATCAATCGAAGACAAGGCCAATTATGCTGATCAATTGATGTTTTTAATATATCTATACAATTTTTAATTCCCTTACTTAATCTTAATTAGAGATTTAATATAATTATAAATACCATAATAAAATTACTTAAATTTTTCACAATTCATTATAAATTAGGTTAAAACCCCATTTTGGTCCCTAAACTATTGTCTGGACCCCCAATTTGGTCCCTAAACTAAAAAAATCCTTGATTTGGTCCCTACTGTTTACCATTTTAACCCTAATTTGGTCCTTCCATTAAATATCTGCCTATGTGTCCCGTTACTTGACAGGAAAAGGATGACATGTTAAAGCATTTTGACACCTACGATGTACAGCGTGGCAAAAAAATGAGATGGCAAGAAAATACCTTAAAAAATTTCTTTTTCATTTTTTTTTTCTTTCTTTGTTTTTCTTTTTTCCCTTTCTTCTTCCTCTCCCTTTCCTTTCACCTCCTGCAAACCCTAACATCTCCTAATATTAAATCCGAGAATAACACCACAAATCAATAGATCAAAATCAATAGATCCTTCGATCCAACTACAGCTAGGTTGGAAACAAAACCCAACGCTTGTTGGGTTTAATCACCTGTTGGGTTCGAAATCGAATCTAGCACCTGCAAGAATCTGAGGATAACACAACAGATAACAAATCCATAAATAGATCAAACTCAACAAATCCATCGACCGAAGGGTTGTTGAGCTTGAAACAGAACCCAACAGACAACAGATCAATAAACAAATGGAACTCAACAGATCCATTGACCCAATGGTTGCTGGGTTCAAAATGGAACCCAGTGCCTACTGGGTTCGAAATCGAACCCAGCACCTACAAGAACCCAGTGA